CTTTTACTTTCTCAAGAGCTGAAGCATCACAAACTGTTTATGAACTGTTCAGAGCTACCAACATGAAAATTACCCCAAAAGAGTTCAAGTTTGTCTTGGTTTGTTTTTTCTTCAAGTAACTTCATAAGCATAATTAGGTTGGGAACCCCATGGATTACAAGAAAGTGGTAGGTATGCTCCCAGGAAATTCCCAATTTCCCAGTCAATATGCAGGCCTGATGATAAAGGGAAGAATGTCCATGACCTAAAAAAGAAATTAGCATGCAAGTTGTTGCTTAAAGAAAAAAATGAACTCAAGGAAGTAATGACAGTTTCATTTGCATGAAAGTAAATAGGATGGTTTAATTTGGTATAATATGAGGTATTTTCCAGAACAGAAAGTGGGATTTGGGAAACTTTTTAGTACCAAAGGAAAAAAAAGTTGTTCATTTGCACATAGAATTGAGATCTACTAAAGAAATCAAGAACTTTCAAGGACAGCTTTCGCTCCAAACACTGCTTTAAAGTATTGGACACAGAGAAAAAACTTGGGGATTTTAAAACTGAAACCTCACAGAGGGATAAACAGAACGTGGTGAGCATGAATAACATGTGGGTATAATAAATATACTTTAAGTATATGTTCTGAGATTAAACTGCAATGCTAGCAAAACCTTGGTCAAATAAAGATAGAATATCTATGTGAAAGAACCTAAAAAGCTGCTGCTGAAGTACAACGTCTATGTGGTAAGAAAGGTTTCCTGGGGAAAAAAACTATGCCAGGTCTCTTCTGACCAACAAATTTCAAAGGCACAGAAGACTCACGTCAAGATAATCTTGTAAATAAACTTTCCCAGCTGCCTGGTACATTAGAAAGTCAAAGGCAGATAAATCAGTTTGGAAATCTAAATCAGTTAGCATGAGAAAATTGTCACAAATACAGTAAAGTTTGCAAAGTATGTAATTTGTTTATTTATGTTGAACATCAGTACTTTGGGAGCCACTGGGCAGAACTGAAATGTAACACCGTGATTACAAACTGGGTTAAAATCTGGCTGAAGTTAGAGGTGGGAATGTTATACTTCTCAAACAAGAACCCATCATGCTTAAGTTTGGATACAGAGGAAAGTAACATTAGTGGCCTTCAAATTTCAGCACATAACAACACACAAACCAGAGCACATTCAAAAGTTACGTGAATTATGGGGGAAGACAAGGCCTTTTTGCTTCAAAGGAGAGAGAGAAATATCAAAATGTATTGCAAAAAAAAAAAAAGTGAAGGAACAGGTAATCAAGGACACACATAGGATAAGAAATTGAAAATAGTATTGAGAGAGAGGAACATACACATGCAAATAGGTTTGCTTGTGGTCTAAGGTTTTGGATCAAATGCTTGCTTACTAAACAAAGGATGCTTCTTTGCCACTTGGTTCCTATTATCTCTAGGGAAAATGAGAATTTTGCAACTTTTCAAAAGAAAAAAAGGCAAAGAATTATTTGGCTTTGCAACCATATGTTCTATATTCTTATTTTTTCTCCTACTACAAAAAACTACAAGCCCCACATTTCTATTGGACAGTTTTTTAAGTTATACAGGTAATCTGGACAACATTCAATGAAAACCAAAAATGCAATAATTTCAGGTAATGGCAACCTATATATTCACTTAAACCACAGCATCCAGAAGTTAAGCACTTGAAGAAACTTCCATCTTTCAGCAGGAGCAATAACAGGCAAAAGCGGTAAAAAGCAATTGCATTTTAATCTTATATTCAATAACTCTTTTTCCACTTCCTATCAGAATAAGATTCACTGCTCCATGGAGAGTACTCTTTTTTCTTGTTAAGCAATGCAAAGTTCAAAGAGCATAATGAATACTAATGAGAGGCAGGAATCAAATAAAAAAATAAATCAAAAAACATACACCAGTACAATTAGCATTATGCTGCCCTTGATTTGGCTTCCCCCATCCTCTCCTGTACTGTTCAGTATAAATCTCTCTATAGAACTAAATCTCATTTCTTTGTTTCTTCAATTTTTTCAAGTTAGTTATTCTCCTTTAACCTAAAACATGCTTCAAATTCAAAACACGTTTTTCTTCTCATTTTATCATTTCAATAATTTTATATTTTCATGTGTTCTTACATCAACTGTGTATCCCACCTTCAACTTAGCTCTCCAGCTGTTGCCCGTTTTCCTGCTTTCTAACAAGGACATAAAAGAATTAGTCAAAATCCCATCTATTCACAGTAGACCAACTTACTAGTCACAACAGCATTCTTCAGTAATCTGTCAACCTGTGTTACCACCTCCTCCTTATGTTTACTGCAGCATCTGTACATTCTGACATTAATTTACCCACCTAAACAAGTCAGGAAGGCACTGTGACCAGAGACATGGAAACGAACAGAAACAGACTGTGTGCAGCTCTGTGCAAAGGACAAAGGAAATCAAACAGGACAACCCATGAACAGAAGACATGAATAAAAACAGGTAGCATTAGATCCCTTTCTGAGTCACTACAGCAATGTGACTGTCTGTACTACTAATATGAGGCCTGGAGTCTAAGTCCTTCCCAGTAAGAAGCATTGGTGATGTTCCTCATTCTGCTGATCAGGGGGACAGGACAGGGAGTTGGACAGTCAGGCTGGACACAGTGGTGCTGTAGCCAAAAGGTTTCTCTTAGAAACAGTCTTCCAGGAAGGCCTGCATGTGCCAGTGCTCTGACATACAGACCTACAGTTCTGGTCACAAGAGTATCCAAGCCATTCTAAGAACACTTCAATGTGCTCCTCACAACACCAGTAACTCTGGTAATTACTCTATTACAGTATTTTGCACAAGGGCCCAGCTCCTCCCATCAAGATAAAGCCTAACAACACATGACTACGTATGAATACATAGATGAACAAAGCCTGTACTCATCACAGGTGCAAATAAGAATCCAGTTATAATCTGATACTCATTTTATTCCCAGTTGATGCTACAATTTCTTTCAGGAGGTAAAATTTGAGGAGCCAGACTTCCATAGGGAGTTTGTATCACTAAAGTATTCATTAAAAAAAAAAAAACAACAAAAAATTTGAGTAAAGAATTGGTCAAAACAAAGGACAGTGGGAATGGGATCTAAACAGAAGCAGGAGATGAGATGGAAAAAGGAAAGAACCAAATGAACACCATGGTTACTGGTAGCAGAAGGAGGAAGCAAGGACACTGAGGAAAGAAACAAAGATACTGATGAAAGAAACCCTGCCAAACTTGAAGTTGGAGCATCCCTGGTTAGAGTTGTTCTGGTATATCAGGATTACCTAACATATGGTAACAGGCCACTTACCACACAGTGCATGGCTGTGTGGGTGGTTGTGCAATCCCAGCTAGATAAACAGTTCTCTCATTCATTTCACTACTGACTAGGTACTCAGGTTGGTGTGTATGAGAAGAGTCAGATTTGTTTCGATCTTAATTCTCCATTAAGCTCAGACCTTTCATATTACATTTTTTTTCCTATTATGAATATTCTTTCATCAGAATAATCTATTTCTCTTAGTATAACCTGTTCACAAGCCTTACCGGACATCTAAATGTCGTCATTCTAAGCGTAAGCAGGAATCCAATTCTGTCAAACATTTCACTGAAAATTGACAGTGTTACACTATAGTTTGTCAAGAGCAGAAAAAAACATACTTATATTGCTATTAGGAGCATGCCTGATTTAAATAAGTGCAAACTACCTCTCCTCCATATCCTGTAAACATGTTTTGTGTACAAATGCATGCACAGCACCACTAAAGCTGAAACCTTGAAATTCTGCTTCTAATATTTGGTAAAAATAACCTAGACATTATCCAAAATGGGGATCATCCCTTTTTCCAGAAAAGGTGCCTTAATTACAATAAATCACAATAATAGAAAAAACAGTGTCATTTAAAAGAAATCAGAGCTATCAATTAAAAAAAAAAAAAAACAAAATAGTAAGAAGAGTGCAATTAGGAAGCTTTAGAGTAAATCTTGTCAAATTTACCGTTAGGTTCTTTGGCTTGGCAGTCATATTGGTAATTTTGTTTTACCATTACCCATACACAATTTATTGTAATTGCTTTGGTGAATCAAATGACACAGATAAATAGATAATGACCCATCAGTACCTACTCTAAAAAGTAGAAAATACTAAATAGAAGTACCAGAAAGCATATTGAAAACCAGTGAAAGTGCCTCCTAAGTTAGTGGATATTTGACCCACGGAACTACTTGAGGCTGGATGTTGAGAAAACTAGAGTTCCACAGGGGTCAAAGGCAAGGATGAGTTGATGGATGAATTCACTATGGATCTTTAAGACCTCAATATGTCTGTTCCAGAAAGTTCCTGGGCTGCAGTTTGTTGAAAGCTGAGTGGATACTTACAGAGTGGAACTAAGTAAAGTATGCTTGCCTTTTGCACAGGCATCTGCTCAGGACATTGTCAAAGACTCTTGAAAAAAATCACTGACTTCAATTGCTTTTATACAATCCTTGTAGTAATTGCACGACGAAAAATATTCTCAGTGCTGTCGCTTACCCAGTTCTGTAAACGTGTGACCACTTCCCTCGCTGACATCATATAATCAAGTGCCACAAGAAAACAGGTAACTGCAACAATCCCAATTAATAATTGAATGCTTCTAGTCTCTGAGACACAAAGACTACAGATTCATATCCAGATTCTGTCACAGGCCCATGCAGATGGACTCTCATTTAACTGGACATCACAAAGTCCCAGAGGGCCAGGAGTATACAACACCTTAAAAAATAAGCATCTGCATCATCCAAGCCATTGAAATCTTCTCATGATAAGGCTTTATCATTACACTTCAGTTGCAGGAAAAGAAGCTGTCTCATCATTTTTGCAACACAACAAAAAACCTACCGGTAAGAAAGCTCCCAACGACTGTCACGTCTCAACGGCGCTTGATCATTAGCCTAATTTCTGTAACAACACATTTCCATACCAGCATTTACACTGCTTCCCTGAACCTGCTGCTCACCTCCCGTCTGGCACAGGCGTTTCTCCTCTTCTGTAATAAACGCAGGTTTGAAGGCAGGTGCTAACAGGGGTGATGCTCTGGGACCAGTCCTGAGAGCCACCCTGACAGACAGCGGGTTCCTGAAGGGCGTATGCGCTTGCCAGCCTCGCTGCTTTTCCAAACCAACAGCTCCTCTACTAAAAGACGCTTCTTTCCACCTAAAAAATCTCATCTCACTTCTAAAAATTTATAACCTTATTTTCCTCTTTTCCTACTTACAGGCCCTTCAGGTCACAGACTTTTCCTTCATTTCTTGTTTTATAACCTGCCACTTAGATAACAAGCACCAGTCAGGCTCCGACAGATGCTTCACAGAAACACGTGCTGACATATAGAAAAAACCCCTACAAGCAGCATCACCTCAGTTATTTTCTGGAAAAGGAGACACCGCTTAAGGACTCGTTTCCTGAAGTCTCCTCCCAATCCATGACAAAACAAGTCAAGGGAGCACGTACGAAGCTTCGCTTACTGCACGGAGTGTGTTACCCCATCCTCAACCGCACTCCTGGAGATCACCAGCGTTATTTGGCGGAACAGGGCTCTACAGACCTGACACCCGACACAGAAGGGATGGGGGCACCTCCCTGCCGGGCGAGGCTCCGGGTCAGCCCCACGCAGCGGGGAAAGCTCTGGGAGCCGGCACAGGGGCAGGGGACGGCAGGGCCGGGCCCTGCGACACGTACCTTCCCCGTCCGCAGGCACTCGGCACGGCGGCGGCCGGCGCTGTCTCTGCCGAGGCCGGGCGGAAGCAGCCGGCGAGGAGGGGCGGGGGCGGCCGGGCCGCTCCTTCCGCCGGGGCCGCGCGGGAGCGCCGAGGGCGGGCCCGACCCGCCTCCCGCTGCTCCGTGAGGGCGGTGGCTGCGACCCCCGTGAGGGAAGGGGAAGAGCTTCCCTCCGCGGGCCTGGTGTTACCTGTCACCCGTCACCCATCATCCGTCACCTGCTTGGGAACGGTGGGACCACGAGCGAAGATCCCCCGGGACGCTCGTCTTGGGAGGGGGCTGGGGGGGGTCCTTCAGCCTGTCATTCACGCTTGCCCAAACCTCGCAGTTTCTGTGGGAATTCTGGCAAAGAAAAAAAAAGATACTTTTGGAAGAGCAAAATAAGCTGGCCTTCTTAAGGAATGGCATCATCCATTCGTGTTCGTCCCTCAACGTGTTTGAAGGATAGAATCACAGAATCATGGAATCATCAAGGTTGGGAGAGACCTCCAAGATCATCCAGTCCAACCGTCAGCCCAGCCACTGGAACCCTTGAACCACTGAACCACATCACTCAGGACCAGATCCAGATGCCTCTTAAACACCTCCAGGGGTGGTGACTCCACCACCTCCCCAGGCAACCTATTCCAATGCCTGACCACACTACCAGTGAACATTTTTTTTTCTAATATCTAATCTAAATCTCCCCTCTCTCAAATAAAGGCCATTTCCTCTTGTCCTCTTTCTGAAGGCAGTGAGAGACCACTCCCACCTCATTACAACCTCCTGTCAGGTAGAGTGCAATAATGTCCCCCAGAACCTCCTTGAGACTAAACAAACCTACCTCCTTCAGCTGTTCCTCATGAAACAGGTTTCTAGACCTTTCTCGAGCCTCGTTGCCCTTCGCTGGACACACTTGTGAGGCCTTGGAGTCAGAACAGATGCTCTATGAAATGTTGGTTCCTTGTGTGGTCAAAATCAAGACTTAGTCAAAAATCAAGACTTAGTAGCCATTTGGAAATGAATGCCATGATTCTCACTCTGTGTGGTGGTAATGTGCTCACTGCTTTTCTGGAGTCTGCAGGTTCAGCAATTCGCACCTCTCAGAAAGAGTACAGTAAAACTACAAAAGATCTAGAAAGTGTACCAAAGTTTTTCACAGATGTGAAATTCTTCCACATAGGGAGCACTAAATAAAACGGAAGTTGGAAGACAAGCTGATGAGAGAAAGAGCTTGGGGAACTAATGACAGTAGTTTGTGAAAACAAATTGAACGGACAGTGATTCCTCATTGCAATTCCTAATGCAAAAACTGTGGGAAAAAAATTAAGCTCATAGGCAGCAGTTTCAAAACAAAAAGTACTTTAATGTAGTCTTAAACTTCATTGGAAATGTCACAGATTCCTAAAATTTCACAGGAATTTGCAAAAATGTAAGGCAGGTTTATGAGAAGGAAATCCATCAGGGATTATTAAACATGAGAATACTGCTTAGTAGGCTTAAAGTAAAGGAAGCCCTGAGAGCTGTCATTCTTCTGGAGATTGTAGCAGGGAAGTAGCCCAACGTGCTCGCCTTTTCCTTAGCACAGCTGTCGGATGCTGCCAAAGACGGAATGGACTGTTAGACTGATCTAATACAGTTTCCGTGTTCCTATTTGCAACAACATTCACATCAAGTCCTGCAGGTCATTTGTTATTCCAGAACTCTGTTTAATGTGCATTTAATATATCGAAGAATCATCTAGGTGCTTGAGCCACTGTTGATCAGACTACAACATTTTATTAAACTCTTTATGAAATTTGATTGTCAGCAGCAGGTAAGCTCATGGGTGAAATTAAAATAATGGCTGTGTATTTAATTTGATATGAAGTTGGTAAGTTCCCAGAGTGAAATCACAGAAAATACTCTTTTTCACTTGGTAGAAGAGGCACTTTACCCTGGTCTGTGGGCAAAAGGAAACTTAAGTAGGAAAAGGTCATTGTTCCACATCTCTGTGGAAAAAAATTAACTTGACACAGTGTTGGTTGTCTCATTGTGCCCTTTTGTTTCGGTACATGTAGACATTGTGATATGCCTTTGAGTATGTTCCTAATGTAAATGGCAGAAATAGTGTTTTAGTATGTATTATAAGACTAAAAAAGCCAACTGCAATCTTTTGGAAATGGAAGTTGATTGGAGGTTGTATGTTTTAGGTATCATATGTGTAGTATTGTTCTCATGTGATTCTTTTTTTAAGTATATCGAATCAGAGTACAGCAAACGCAAAACTTTCAGCACGGGAATGGTCTAACAGAGCACTGGTCCCAGAGTTTCTGGACATGCATAGGCTTTGCTTAAACAGACAGCACCCTAGAAAACAGTGAGCTTAAGGTGGCTCACGCTCGTAAAAATTTTGCTGTATCAGGGTGAAATAGAATAAGTACATTTACGTGCTAGTTTAATTCAGGGATAGGTAAAAAGTAGAATTTATGTTATGAAGCTTGGGGTAGTGCTTTATAAGGTCAGATTTTCATGAGTATTTTGCATTACTTCCCTGGTTACGTTTTTACTGCTACATAAAACAGGACCAGTGAGTGTCCTTCAGAGCTGTCCTAGCAGCCTTTGCACTCTCACCCATCACATACTCTCACACTGCATACAATCTAGGTTTTGTGAAATGGAGAAATCACAGTGGATTTTGCAATAGTCTTTACATTTTTCGGGCACTTATAAATGAAAAAACCTCTACACAACATAACAATTTTGTCTAATGGCCACAGTGGTATCACCCGTGTCCAAAAGAAGACTCGGGCCAAGTACTAACAAGTGTAGATGTGGCCAGGCTGTGGCCCCTTGGCTGGTTAAGGGTCCCTGGTGTTGTTTCATTTAACTGCAGGGTCAGGGCCTCTGACAAGGCCCAGCTAGGAACGTTTTATATAACCAGGTACCAGGCCTTGAGGAGTATTGGTGTTGAAACAAACAAGCCTGAAATATTTTTGCTGGCATCAAATGAGAGGCACAACGGCATTCAAACAGCTTTGAGAAGTTTAGTTGGTAGTATCTCCAAGCACCAAATAAATCTGCAGGAGATAGGTTCTTCTGGCCAGGGCCCTGGAGGCCATCTGCTGTGGACTTGTTTAGTAATGTAAATAATACAATAATTGCCATGACCTATATATTTAAGGCTATTTTCATAGTTCAGTTTAAAATACTTAATCCAAAGAAAGCACAATTAATGTCCAATCAAAATATAAAGTGCCCTTTACATGTCAACAGTTACAGGATAGCAAATCCTGTCGAGGAACAGATGGAAGTGTCTTAGTGTTGCCCCATAGATGAGTGGAAATTAGTTTTCAGGCAGCAGAGACAGAAAAAAGTGCATATATATACAGAGTTCGCTGAAAGTGCGTAAATACATGAAAAAAAGTTGCTGGTAAAACTTCCTGAAGAGGCATGTGGTTCTTGAAAGTACCCACTAGTGTAAAATGTATTTGTAGTTAGCTGTTAATGCAGCTGTATGTACTGGAACAACTCACACGGCAACTGCCTCATATTTAATAGCTGCAAACTGTAATATGAAATAAAACATTGAATTTCATGAAAGTAAATTCTGTTTATAAGTACATTTGAGAACTAGTCGAATAATTCGTTGTTTCTTTTTCCCCTTGCCTTCCCCTGTTGCTATCTAAAACTGACCATGAGAACTGTAAGTCGTGAGTCACACCAGTGTTTGGCCAGAGATTTTCTGATGTTTCAGAGGGTGCAGGCTTCAGCTCAGGTACAGAATTTAGTCTCTTGTAAAAAGTCAGCTCCAGCCTTAACTATTGCCTAAACCCCATGGATCACATTTTTGCTTAGCCTTTGCAGAATAGTGTATTTTATTCTGAACTGCTATTTATGATTCCTCATATGTGGTTTCTGTTTAAACAATCATAGAACCATATGCAGAGTTAGAGGGAGACAATGAAATACAAACCACTGGAAAGTGTTGAACATTCCAGACACCTTTCTACACTTTTTCATTCTTGTTATTGATGAGACCAACTACTTTACCCCGGAGGTCAATATACAGCAAAAACCTATTGTGGTAATGTTTGTGTTTTAGTCCCTATGCAGATAGTAAATTAAAATTATTTCTGCTTCAGCCATTTTAAAGATATTTAATTATTCTTCTTTACAACAGGTTTTGCATAAGTTTAGGAACATTAAATCCCCTAAAAAGACATGTATATTTGACTGTATCTTTGATAATAACACAATATTCTTCATATTCTAAAACTCTGTTGTTGGTGAAATAAAATATGTGACTGACTTTTAATTTGTCTTATTTGTCTTATTTGTTTTAATAACATCTTATAACTTTCACTTAATGTATGTCAGCATTACATGAAAAAAAGTTTTACATTTTCAAACCCTTGTTCTCCCTTCCCTGCTGCCACTATATCGGTGCAGTACTTTTCAGGGCAGAGTAGGTGACTTTGATTTTCTGTTTGCTTGTGTAATTTTGTAAAGAGATGTAGTTCCAAAACAAACATGAAGTTTAGACATCAAAAGAAAGAGAGGTCAACCTGTCTGCTCCTGAATGTAGCACAAATGGGGAATAGAGTACATGGACAAGTATAGGTACATA